AGATAAACACTCTTCGAATCATACGCCAACTCTGATAAAAAAAATTTTTATAAAAAGGCAATAAAATTTAGGTTTTTATTAACTTTTTTTTTCTCACTATTTTTATTACTTTAGTTTCCGACCAATTTTTTCAGGCATTACATATATATAATTCATGAAATATATTAAATTGATATTTGTGGATATATGGATAGGTCACGGTTTGTACTCGGTTGAGAATTACAATTTAATTTTGGTACGGGGGCCACCGGAAAAATAGAAATTCATTTGATGCCTCTGCCCAACCACATTCGCATGTATTTGCTTTCCACGAAATTCATATATTGAACGACCGATTACACGGTACCTATTTACATTCCACACCCAATAACGTGTTAGATTTATATGTGTTTTAAGTACAACGTATTTATAAAAATTGAAGAAATTTTATAAACGCTTAAAATCAATATATAATATTTGATACAATACTTAAAAAGTATGGAACTTGGATGAATAAATTTTATGATTTTATATACAATTTCTATAAACGGTTTCCGGTTTTTATTGGGTGATATATACATATATATATATAAATGAGTAACATGTAGATGCGTGTAAATAAAATATAATTAATCATATACTCTCTCATATACAATTATTGAGAGAACAAAAAATCAGTTCCAAGAAAATGGATCTTGACCATCGCCATGTGATGATCGTTGAATCATGTCCTAACCAAGACAAGGCAACCCACGTTTTATCTCTTCCGTGTTTAGAGTATATAACCTTTATTTATAATACCTATATATACATATATATATCAGTGTATATATCTCGAGATTTACGTTGCCAATGCTTGTAAGCATGTTATAAATTAGATTACGTGTCCTATAATTCATCAATGTTTTGGGTTATTTGTTAATTTTTTTAATAGAGAAACCAGACAAGAATGGCATTTAAAAAAAAAAACTAAATGAATGCTGTTCTGAAAGGGATAATATATTTTTCGAGTTACTATGTGTGCTGCTAATTAAAGTTCTAAATTTAATCATTTCGTGTAAATTGAGTATGGTTAATGACTAACCCGCTGAAGTTGAATGAAATTTAAATATAAATACAAGTTAAGATTTTATAAAATCAGCTTGATAAGATGTAAAGATTTTCAAATCAGAAATCAAATAAAAAGAGATATTGACATACACTACGTAATTCACGTCCATAATTTCGGGTAATCAATGACATGACATTGACATATGTGTGTGTATATATACATATATATAAATTAAATTTTATGTGAGGATGAAACGCATCTTTCTCTTAGACATCTTTTCATCTTTTCCATCATCAGGAACATGGGAACCATCTTTTGTGTTTATTACTTAAAAACATTATTCCATGTTTATGATTCAGAGCCACATGACTCATCATCACATGCCGAAGGACCATCCATATCTCGCTTTCCTCCTTGTATTTTGTCTCCTTTTTTTTTCTTTCTTTATGATATGCTCCATCTATTATTACTTATAATTATTCATCATTAAATCGGAGATTATATAATTAATTTAGCTATGAAAAAAATGCAAAGTGGGTTGGTGCTTGAACTGATGTTTTACTGTTTCACGTGATCATATCATGTGCAATATGATTAATTGATCACTTACGTGATTTTATTAAAGAACAAAATCGAATTAAATCTATATTTTGATACGATTTCACTACAAAACAAAAAACAAAAAATAAATCCAAGGCCCAAAAGTCAATCATATTTTGATTTCTTATTAACCACACTTAATAGACAAGCATGCAGAATATCAGCATTTGGATTGATTTTAAGAAATAATCAGAATAATAGTATGTATGTATGTGTGTATGTATGTATATATATAAGACATTAATACGAAGATTAATAAACTAAGCAAGCAGTTTACATCCCACATGCAATAAATCATATGGCATGAATAAGATTTATTCGATTATACATCCTCCTTTAGTTGATATGCAGTATTATAAGACAACACTTATAGTTTTTTTAGATAACATTAATCAATAAATCTAGGAATGGAATTCAAATTTCAAATAATTAATAGCTGTATAACATTGGACTCCATTATTATCTATCATTGTTTTCTGCATTATTATTTAATAATTAATACTGAATAATGCAATTACATGCACATGCAAAGTCTGTCGTGTTGCTCTCTTTCTATATAACCCAACACTCAGTCAGTCCCTTCTCCTCCATCTCTCCCCAAGACTGAATCTTAAATCTTTTAACACAGAGTAAAACATGACAAGGCAAGTGAAGTTGCCGTTTAGTTCAGTAGTCACCGTCGTTTTGATCTCTGTGATCTCTACCGTCCGATCATGCTACCCGTCAGATCGTACGGCTCTGCTCGCTTTCAAGTCTTCTCTTAGCGAACCAAACCTTGGGATCTTCGACACGTGGACAGAATCCACAGACTGTTGCAAGCAATGGTATGGAATCAGCTGCAACCCGGACTCGGGTCGGGTCACTGACATCTCTCTCCGCGGCGAATCCGAGGACCGGGTTTTTAAAAAAACCGGCCGATCCGGTCATATGACCGGTTCGATTGACCCGGCGGTTTGCGAACTGGTTAGCCTCAACTCCCTCGTCCTCGCCGACTGGAAGGGAATCTCCGGCGAGATCCCGGCGTGCATAACCGCCCTAGCTTCGCTACGAGTCCTCGATCTCGCCGGGAACAGCATCACCGGCGAGATCCCGACAGAGATCGGTAATCTCCGTCGATTCGCCGTCCTCAATCTCGCCGAAAACCGGATGTCCGGCGAGATTCCGCCGTCATTGACGTCACTCTCCGAGCTCAAGCACCTGGAGCTGACCGAGAACGGAATATCTGGCGAGATCCCGTCGGATTTCGGGTCGTTGAAGATGCTGAGCAGGGCGTTACTCGGTAGGAACGAACTCACGGGGTCGATACCGGGTTCGATAGCGGGTATGACCCGGTTAGCGGACCTGGATCTATCCCGGAACCATATTTCCGGTCAAATACCGGATTGGTTGGGCAAAATGAAGGTACTGTCAGTGCTGAATCTCGATGGAAACTCGTTGTCGGGTCAAATTCCGGGTTCATTACTGAGCAATTCGGGTTTGGGAGTGTTGAATCTGAGCAGGAACGGGTTGGAAGGATCCATACCCGACGTATTCGGGTCAAAAACGTACTTCATGGCTCTTGATCTGTCGCACAATAACCTGTCGGGTCGGATCCCGGATTCGTTATCGTCAGCGAAGTATGTGGGCCATTTGGACCTTAGCCATAACAGGCTTTGTGGGCCCATCCCGATGGGCTCTCCATTCGACCATCTGGAGGCGACGTCGTTTAGTGACAACGAGTGTCTCTGTGGTAATCCCTTGAAGACTTGTTAATAACATAAACATGGGTGTGCCGATTTGTTGAAACCGGTTCGGTCCATTTAGTTTCTTGTTGCCTGGTACTAGTTACACCCAAAGTGTTTGTATTTTCTTTTTCTTTTTTATATTTGGAGAATTAAATCTATTTTATGATGGATGGGTTGATGGACTTACAGATCAGTGTATATGAAATATATTATAATTGTTTAAAAAAATGTCGATGTAATTCTAAAAAAATATTTGAAATGTGAAGTGTCTAATAAAAACAATCACTGGTTGGTTGTATCGTTACGATTATAACAATTGTTTATGTTTGTAGGCAAACTTAGTTGATTCCATCGATTGGTTCATGATGTCATCGATCAGTTTTTAATCGTCAGCAACCATAACAAAATTAAAATCTTAAATACCAGATTTGTAGTAAATTGTGATGCAATCATTTAGATTGTAAATGGAATTATCACGAGGCCATTGACTTCAAAACTGTGTTGTTGGATCACGAGAAGAATATAAAGAGATATGCAAATTAATACCAAGAGATATGTTAAGATTATATTAATTAACTTAATTGTCAGTAATCATTGAATTACCAAAAAAAATATTCACAAAGATGGTGTAAATTAAAATTCAAAATCTTATATATTCATGGCATTTGTTGAAAAGTAATCAGAATAAAAAAATCCAAGAGTCTAATTATTTCATGGAACGATTATATTAATAAATTATGAAATCGAAATACGAATATTTGTAATTTTGATTGAAATAACGCCTTTGATATATTAACCAACACATATTAGTGGTTCTTGAAACCCCCTCTAAACCCACCTTTTATATAAATCTTTACCAAAATATTAACCTTCTGCATCCATGAACTAAACGAACACATAATTTTTCGTTCTAAATTGAATTTCAATAAAAAAAAAATTATATTTCGTAATCTCAAAGAATACATAATATAAAAAATTAAATTATACATATCTAACAAATACGAACTAGTTCACGGTTCGAATAACTTAACCATGAGCTCGTTTTAAAGCCCTATCAGTATCTTTGCTACTGCAACTGTTTTTTGTGGCTCTTCCGTTAGTCCAAAGGACACTGCACCACGTCTCATCTTCCATTTTGACGTAACAATTTTATTCGGACATTCATTCAGTTGTTTTGTTTCTATTTGTATTTTTGTGATCATGTCTCCAACTCCAACTCTCAATCCCCCTTTCAATATATTATATTCATATATGTTTCAGTATATATATATATATATAATTTAATATTTCTTGTTAATCATTTTCTATATTTACCCACGCGTGAAAAATATACCTCTTTGTAAAAAATATAAGATTTTCATAGATCAAATAACACACACACACACATATATATATATATGATATGATACATTGATTAGATTTGAAAATATCCTTTTATCTGATTTTTAAGATCTCACAACCCAACCATTTTGGCCCACCCTCCTAAAATTTCCCAAACAATAAATAATTTCAATATAAATCAATACATACATTATTGTTTTGGTTAATAATACGTTTTTTCCTAAAAAAAATGATATTATCACGTTTGGCCGATTTGTATAACAAAAATCAATTGCAACATAATATATAAATTTATTATAATGCCGTTCAATAACACTAATATTGCTCACTATTAAAAGCTCGAAAATTACACCTTAATACGCATACAACCATAGCCGTTGGATCAAGCTTTGCGTTAATGGAGATATCTTACGTCTTGATGCCAACCAAACCAAAAATAAAATAAAATTATGCGAAGCCAATTATCTACTTATCCTATGAAATTGTCTCCCTCGACCATCCATGATTACAAACTAAAGCCATTCCCTCCAATACTTTAAATTAATTTCATCGAATTTATTCTTCTAGTTTATTTATTAATTAATTATTAAAGTTTTCCCTCTGTTGATACATGTGTCTTCATGTCATTGGATGACGCGTATCTGTGAGAAAAGGTAAGTTTCTCGCGAGAAATTGTTTTGGCCCAATAATTACATAATTTCGTGATAATGAGTACAGCGCATGTTGATGTTGTCATCTTTGGGACCCACACCTTTTTATAAAAACTTGTAACTGCACTTTCTAGACATTGTAAATTTACCGTCTCGCCCTCCCATTTCGACCAAAACTACACGCTCATGCCATTTGAGACTATTTCTCTGATCAATCAGCTAAAAACAAAAACCAAAAAAAATTGAAGGGGAAAGTAATTAATCATCAAATCTTAAGCCACAATAATAATCTTTTGGTTTCTCAATCACGAAGCTAAATTTTAATTTAAGAAAAAAAAAAAGAAAGCGAAAAAAGAGGTTTCAGATTTGATCGAACAGAGGAAGAATCAGAAAATCCTTCTGATCTTCGTTACAACACCAACGAAATCGATGTCTCCCGGCATCTCCCTGGCGATTCTCCGACGGAAGATCTTTTTTATCTAACTCGATCTACGAAGAAATGCGACGTTTGAGAGTGTTTCAGATTTGTTCTTGTAATTTCCTTCTGGAGAAAATAATTTAAACCTTGATGATCTTCGCCGCCTTGACGACCGGATTTTCTCTGGCGATCGCTTCACGACCCGCCGCTTTGTAGTCGTAGCTGCAGTCATGGCGGGCTGAGTATCGGTGCTCCGCGCAGAAAAGCTCACCGCAACGGCACCGGAACCCGGTCAATCCGACCTTCCTCCGGCAACCCGAACACCGGTTCACGATTTTCTTCTCCTCCTCCACCGCATCGTTCCCCCGGTTCCGGCTTATTATCACCTTCGCCGCAGAAAGACCCGACCGATCTGACGACGACCGAAGAGCGCTGCATCTCGCCGGTTTCTTCGCTATCAGGCCTCCATCCTTGACACTATTGTTGTTGTTGTTGGCGGCGGCAGCGGAGGGAGGGGATGAGACGGCGGAGGCGGTAGTAGCGTTGAAGCATTTCTGACACATGTTGTTGGTCGCCGGATTTCCGGTGACGCCGCAGTTGTTGACACAAAGCGTCAGGGTGTCCGGTACTTTGACCTCCGTCTCCTCCTTCTCCGTCCTCTGCGCCATGTCCACAATCTACGCCGGCGATTCGAAGATCTCTCTGGATGAAGAATCACGAACGAATTCAAACAATTTGAAAAGAGAGATCGGCGACGGCGAGAGAGAGAGAGGATCTCCTCTGCTATTCTGGAGGAGAGATTTATTTTTAGAGAGAGAAAATGGTCAGAGGTTGGGTTTGAGGAACCGAGAGGTGAGAGAAATGGGGATTTTGAAGGGATTGGGAGGTCGGCGAAGGCGATGGAACATGAGCCTCATAGAGACGCGTATCATTTTAATTTTTCTTTTTCCTCTTTAGTGGATTCGGAAATTACGTAAATATCCCGCGGATTTAAGTTGGGTAGTTTCGTCATTCCAGGTGTTTCTAGATTGGCATCTTACGTGTTTATGACACCATGTCACACATATACATGCATGGTCTACGTTCATTTCCATTTTCTTTTTTTTATTAAAATAATTTTTTATATCGAACATTATTATTTCGGCTAACTAACAATTATGGGTTCCAAATCACATCGAGAATTTAATGCAATAACTATTTTCATATATTGATGATTTTATGTCACTAACCCAAAAATAAATTTATTCCCTGAATTTTTATTATTTCAACTTTTTAGATATGTAAACAAAAAGTATGATACACCTTTTAAAATACACACACATATATGTAAATCATGGCATTAATAAAATTTGTATTCCTACATAATAATAGAATAAAATATTCCACCTGAAAATTTCATAAAAGAAATACAATACACGAGTCAACGTGTGATTGGATTTATGTTACAAAATTTTGGCTGTTGAATGTTTCCACGAGGTGAAATCATTATTTTGAGATATTAGATCTATTGTGATAGAAATCAAAATCTAGAATATCAGCACCAATTCTTTTTCCACAAGATCTAATTTTGACGGGTTTTTACAAGTTGGTCATTTTATTAATCGGCATGACAAATCGTCCGATTAATTACATAACATATATGCGATTAACCATTTATTATTATTATTATGGCAAAACATTTATTTTTTATTTGCAGGAGAGAGAGGGGCCGGCAAAAAGGTGGCAAGGCAAAGGCATGGGAGGAGGAGAAGGGGCAAAATCGGTAATCTACATAATTTTCTATAATAAATAGTCGAAACTTATCTTCTGGACGACGACAGCTTTTTTTCTATGCTCTATTATTGCAAGTAAAAGGCTCTTTTAATACAGTTATTTTATTATGAAGTAATTCCAGAGAACGATAAAAACATGCACCAAAACAAAAGTGCGCATAACAAAGAAATAGTATTTTTTACTAAAAGGATACTTAGATCAACGATACCAAATATACACATGGGGGTTACTCATAAATTTTTAAAGTTTTAACTAATTGGGTTACGAAAATGATAGAAATTGCCTTAATTTATAAAAATTATAAAGTTGAAGAACTTAAGATTTACAAAGTTAAATTACATTAAAAAGTTAAACTTTTTAATTTGTAAAGTACGTAATTTTTATTTTTTATAATTGAGATTGTATCGTTGATCCAAGTATCCTTAGAACAAGGACCCAATTATTACATGGTTTTATTTTTTTATTTTCTATTTTTCACTGAATAACATATGGATGTGTTGGAAATTGTGAGGAATTCTTTCGTTCGTTTGCGAAATCATCAAGCTTTCTTTATTTTTAATTCCGACAAATATCATTAGCTAATTTTTTTTATTTAAAAAGTGAAGTAAAAGCCAAGTTGCGAACAAAGCCATGTTGGGTTGGAAACCGCGACACTGAGGTTAGTTTCGTAATTATACAAGCCGCAGATGGCCCCTTTCTCGGTGGTTAAAATGGTAATTATATCCTTTTTGTAGCCGCCGCCTCTGACCGGCCGAATGCTCCGACGTCGTTTCGTACGAAGCCTATTCGTTTTCTTTTTTTCCACTTTCTTGGCTACTAAATTACGCATGTGTTAAGTTCAGAAGATTATTGACAGTTCAATACAATAATATATTATTTTATGAAAAATATTTATGTTAAACAAAATTAACGGTGATACATAAGATATTTTCGGAGTCTTTGAGTTCGAAGATATATATATATGAAAATACCAAACAAATTAATATGATATATATAAAACACACATATCATGTTATCTTCGAAAACAAACTTTTGATATTTCACATATAAAACACACATATTGAGTTCATGCGCAAAGAAGCAGCAGACAACGCGCTGTCTCTGGATGGCACCTCCTTTATGCCTAGGATTCTCAATTGGGGCGGTCATTACGTTAAAAGAATCGAATAAAGATATTTCGGTTATTAACCGAACCAATGATTGATTGGTTATAAAATTTTAAAACTTGAAATAACCGAATCCAAATTAACTATAACCGATTAATCCGAACCGAACCGTTTCACCCATCCCTAATTGTCAAGGTAATGTTTTTACCATAAATTCCTAGTTTAGTCTACGCGTATGCATTTCATCCCTTCTCGCAACCTTTTTGATTGTTGGTGATTTCGAAATTAGAGTTTAGATGCATATACATGCATCGGTATCCTGATTCAATTTTGTATATGTTGCGCTAATATTGTGATAATATGATATCGATCTGAATACTCCATGGATGTGCAAAGAAATTTTCATTAATCAATCTTTTGAGATTCTTCAATGTTATTTGACGACCAGAAAATTAGATAAAAAAAAGATTTGACATATGTATGAAGCATCAGAGCGGTGGTGATTGTTTTGTCATCTGGACAAAACCACGAACACCATCCCCACAGACAACACGCCAACGCACAAGATCGAAACCCCACGAACACGAACGAACAACAGATTCAAATTCTTCGCGATCTGAAGCGTCAATGTCAGAATCTGCAATCTCCCCATCTCCTCCATCTTCTTGAAGAAATACATGGGCTTCAACGCCCGTCTCATCATCAACGCCATCGCGAACGGGAACCCAAACGCTATACAGCTCTGTATCGTCACCTCCGGCATCGGATCCGACCGAACCGCGTACGATATCCATGCTCCGAGGACCAGCTGCGTCAGTCCCAGTACCGCCATGGCTCTGCTCAGGCTGTAGATGTTCTTCATCATGCCTTCCAGGACTTGTCTCGTCTCCTTCGCCAGCGGCGACATGTCTCGCTCCACTGTCGGTCCTTCGATCTCTTGGTGCTTGAAGTTCTCGTTCTGACTCGGGTACGGGTTCTCCGGTTTCGCGTCTTCTTCTCCTGGTTTCTCCGACGTCGAGAAGTTCCTCAATGACCGTGTTCCAGATCTCATGTCTTCGATCTTCGTGTTGGAGATTAGAGCAGAGAACGATCTGATACGACCCAGATTCGGATTCCCCCATTCGCGGCTCCAAGTGAACGCGATTTGGCGTCCGGATTTAGGGTTTTCACTGAAATCCCGGTGGTTCCTTAAACCAACCGGGAAAACCCCGGGAATCAGAGAAATCGAACGAGACTGGTCAAGATTCCCAAGGCCAAAACTGGGATTCAAGAGATTACCTCGGGAGAAATCGGAGCATTTCGGGCACGAGATTGTACTGACATCACAATCAGAGCTAGGGTTTCGGGGATTCAAGAGAATGGACGAAACGGAGATGGGCTGAGAGCCAAAGGGTTGAAGGAGCTTGGAAGCGAGTCTCCGAGAGATCATCGTTGCCGATTTCAATGGCGCTCTCCTCCTCTCTCGTGGACTTTCGTCGTGAAGACGAGGAAGCTCTGATTAGGTTTTTATTGTTTCAAATGTGCAATCTTTACTGAACCCTTTAAATGAAATATTCGTTTAACCGGAACCGGTTTTGGATTGGTTCGATTTGATTTGACTTAAATTAAATAATATTATCCCAGACGAAAACTAATCATGCTAAAAATTCGGTACTAGTTACAATAGTTATCGAACCACCAAATATTTAAATTTTATTAATTAATCGCACTGATGTGAAGATCAATCACATTAAAAAAATGAAAAAGAATCTCCAATATTATCCATAAAGAAACAATGTCACCATATGATAGCTCGAATCCATTAGCAAAACGCTCGGAACAAAATTAATAAATATAAAATATAAACGAGAGCGGAAATTTTCGGAATGGAATAAACACACACACACATTTTTTTCTTATTTTCCAGATTTGAAATAACGATTTTACTGCAAGAGGTAAGCGACGATGGCGGCGACGGAGGCTCCGAGAACCGGCAAGCCAGCGACGGCGGAGGCTCCGCTGCTTGGACCAGGCGCCGGCGCCGGAGATGCAACTTCAGCAGCGACGGCGCTCACCGAGACGGCGGCGAGAATGACGGCGGCGGCGATCTTCTTCATCTCCATTGTCGCTCTTTTTTGGGGTGTTTGGAAACAGGGATAAAACTAACCTGGAATAGAACAAAATTTAAGCGGGGAGAGTTTTTCTTTCTTGTAGCCAAACACGCCTGTCGATTGTTCTTTTTACTTCTGCTGCTTCACCCAAGGGTGGAGTTTTTTTATAGTGGCTGGTTGCGAGCGATAGTTCCGGGATCTTGCATATATTTTATTTAAATAATAATATTAATACTACTAATAATAATAATTTTAATTTTCGGCGCCGGTCGTGATGCCACGTTGGAATAGCGAAGAAAGGGCCCAATCATGGTTGGCAATTTGGTGATTAAGACTTGTGCTAGGTAATTAGTTATCTTAATTAAGGATTTTTTTCGGTAAAGTATCTTAATTTAAACAATTATTAATGAAAAAAATATCAGTTTCTAATACCTGGCAATTGATACTTATATTTTTAATATCTTCCTGATAAATCAAATCTGATTTGTGAAAAAAAATCCAATGCAAACATTAATTTTTTTTTTTTTTTTTTTTGTTGAATACATTAATTTTTCTCCATTTCACAATATGATTTTCTTACTTTATATCTTTCTTCACATCTTGTTTAAGTTTGGAATAATATAATATTTTTTCCCAAAATATATATATATAATCGTTAATTTTGTAATCATTTATTTTATATTTAAAATGTTCTCCTTGGTGTTTTTGTTCCCCTATATAAGTTTAAAATTTGTGAAAAACAATACAAGTTCAATATTTTGTTTTTTTCCCTTTATTTATTTGTCCTTCAAGTTTTAGACCCTTGACATGAAAAATCAAAGGCAGATATGGCACAATCGAGACCATCTAACACATTTTTTTTTGTCTCTCAAAACATTGCACAAAAAATCTATGAATTTAAAAACAAATGAAATACTTAATCAACATTCTAATCCATGAACTTACAATTCTCCATTTTCTATTCCATAAATTATTGTGATGACATTGCCTATGCTGCAAAAAGAAAATTTATTGTACTATTTAATTATGATAAATATTAATATTTTTTTAATAATTTTCAGTATTTTTTACATGTAAGAAGGAGAAATTCAAAAAATGAATGTTGTAAGCGAATTAAAAAGGAATAAAATTACAAGTTTATGATGTTGTCAGTGTATTTCATTTTATCATATGCTTGGTCTTGCACGGTAACTTCCATTGTTCTTGTTCTGATCTTTTTTTTTAAAAATCTTTTATATGCATTTCATTAATTGATCTTGCGTTACATTTTATATTTTCTTTTTATAACTCCCCTTCTTTTCTTTGTTGCTATACGGGCTTTGCTTATTTCTATTTTTTATTTTATTTTATGAATCATTCCCACTTCAAATCATTTTTATCAAAATTACCGTAAAAATTCCAAGAGACGAACAAATGAAAACATTGATCAAATTAAATTTGATAATTCCCAAAAACATTACATAAGCAATTTTTGTTCCTTCTTCAGCTCTCTCCGAGCCTTGTTTAGCATGACACTCACTGCAAGAAGTAAGCGACGACAGCGGCAATGGAGGCTCCGATCACCGGCAAGCTACCGACGGCGGAGGCTCCGCTGCTTGGGCCCGGAGCCGGCGCCGGAGAAGCCATGTCAGCGGCGACGACGCTGACGGAGGCGGCGGCCAGGATGACGGCAACGGCGATCTTCTTCATCTCCATTATTCCTCTGCTTTTTATCTGAGCGGCGTGTTTGGACGAGGGGATAAAATTATCCTCAGATGGTGTAATATGCCAAACACGCCTCTTTTTTTTGCCGCCTGAGAAATGTGGAGAGGGCGAGAAGGTATTTATAGGGGAAAGGCAAAGGGTATTTTTGGGAGGATGATTTGCAAAATAAGGGAGGGCGAAGGGTTGTCATCGGATATTGTCATGTCTGGAAAGCGAAGAAACAGCCAATTTCGTTGGTTGTCATTTGTTGATTAAGTCATGTGGTTAGTATTTTTTGTATCCTCTTGAAAATAATTAAATTCCATTTCATCCTTTAAAGCTATTTATTTCTTTTCTAAATCATTTGTCATATAAAAAAACGACTATTTTATTGTTGGAAATACTAAAAGTTAGTAGTTTCCTTTAAAAAAATATTTAATTGGAAATACATTTTAAAAAACATCGATTGATGATAAAACTGTGGGAATTTCAGAAGCTTCAAACCCCATAACTTGGCATAATTGGATGGGCCTGGGGCCGTTAATTATGGGCTTTAAAGAGGCCCAATAACCGTAATCTCTGTTCTCGGTAGATAGATCCAGAACGCACCTTCAGGTTCTCTGTCTCAAGAGTCCAACATTGCAGCTACTGACCGTTTCTTCTAAGGTTTGATTTTCATCTCCCAAAATTGGACGTTTTTGGTTATGAAATTGAAGTTGTAGGGTTTACCGATTCCGTTAGAAATTATAAAATAATTATAATAATTGGATGCGGAATTAATTTATGAATTTTAATACGGTGTTAAATCGTTAAGATGCAGAATTAAATGGTTAAGCATTACTAATAGCCAATGATATCTCAATTTATGTCAGAGTTGCTTGAGGAAAGATGTCTCAAAAATTTTCCGTTATTGATAGTTGATACTCTCGTTTATGTTCATTTTTGTATCAATGCTGATTTTCTCTCTCTACTTTGTTGTCGATTATAATTTATTTATTTATTTATTTATTTTACGATATAATTATATCTACCGGGGAAAATGTGAACAAGGCTCACTTGGACGTCAAGATTGAAGCGTTGGGTTGTTCCTCAACCCAAATCTTTTAGTCCCACCTGTCTCGCAACGACTCTCGACCTATTTTATTTCCATTTTTTTTATAATAATTAAGAATGAAATTAAACTTTCACATGCTTTCAGTTTGTTTTTTATTTTGTTAATAATGTTTACAACTTCCTTGTCACACGGAAAGATAGAAATTTCACACAACTGTATCTTCATTTTAAAAAGTTAAAGAAAAAAATACCAAATTTATAATTGAAAAATCAAAATTATTTGATAGTTTTAACAAACAACTATCAATTGGTGGAGAAACAAAATCAAAGATTCTAAATATAAAATACTATGTAATTTTGTTTTCAGATCTCAATTATATTGTAATCCAATCAATTTTAGATTTTACTTTTCCCATTTTATAAAAAAATATCAATTTCTATTCATTTAATTTTCTTATATTAATTTAACTTGAATTCGTTTTGCAAAAAAAAAAAATTAATGGTATAATTTATACCGTTGTTGAAAATATTTAATTTAGATTAAAATTATTTAATTAATGCTTTAGATTTATTAGTATCTTTTACTTTTCCTTAAACTAATAATGCAATTTTACCGTTGAGAAATTGAAAGTATTGATGGATATGAACGCTGGAGGAAAAGCAAAGACATTACACGCGGCCCGCGTGGACTCGAACCGTCTACGCGGGGTCCACGCGCCTTATGAATTCATTGATTATTAAATATTTTAAATATTTTTCTCAATCAAAATATATAAAAAAAAAGAAGAAAACCCTAAACCTCTCTCCCCCCTATAAATGCGCCACATGACCACTCATCATCTCCACCCCCAGTTCACCAACAAATTCCACAAACCCAGTAATCCTCTCCATCTCTAACCTCTCTGTATTCCATCTCTGCTGCTATTCAGAACAAATGGCCGGATCCAACATCTTCTTCGCCGCCGTTCTCGTCTCTCTCATGACGGTCTTCTCCGTCGTTGCGGTCTCCGCTCAAGATCTGTCTCCGTCGCCTGCTCCTGCTCCCGACGCCGGTGCTGGATTCTCCATCGGTGCTCCTGGCGCTGTTATCTGCTCTTCTCTGCTCTTGTCTCTCGTCGCTCTATTGAGGAACTGAGTCGAGTCGTTCGACTCGGGTTGGATCGATCCATTATTCTTCTGTTGATATTCTCGGAATTTCACCTATTTCATCCATTATATGACGAGATGTGTTCCATGCATAGGGGTTTTAACCCTAATAACCCACTTGGGTCGCAGCAATTTCAGGGTACACCACCGAAAAAAAAAAAATTTGCGACCTTATTACGACTAATATATAACTAATATACAACTAAAATAAGAGTAGTTTATTAGTCGTAATAAGTTATATATTAGTTATATATTAGTCGTAATAAGGTCGCAAATTTTTTTTTTTTTTTCGGTGGTGTACACTGAAATTGCTGCGACCCCAAGTGGGTTATTTGAGTAATATTTCCCCATGCATATGTTCTTCTTGACGGGGTTGAGGGTTTGATGACGGTGGATTATTGTTTTTCGGTTGATTATTTTGTATTGCTTCATTTATTTATACAGAAATAAAGACGTTTATTTATACAATTCATACATCCGTTTATATATATATATATTAATAGTTATTCCTATATTCATTTTTGAAATATATCGTTTTATATACTTTATGTTAGATTTTATGGTAAATCACTAGGGAGTTTATTATGCTGCTCACTCAAAACTCTGAATTTGCAGAACGTGGACGAACAGAAGCCGACATAAATTATACTAATTTAGTGTTAAGCTATAATATTGTATTATTAGTTGTTTTTGTGTTATTTATTTGGGTATTCCGAGACCGAATCAATTATTTGGTGAAATATTCTAAATACCTAAAATATTATAATTTTTGTAGATCAAATTTGCAATTACAAATAATTACTCACAAGAGATTGTAAATGTGTAATGTGGGCTTTGTGGAGTAGGCTGAATTCATCAAAACCCATATGGCCCATCCTTCAAATTAAAATCTAATTTGGTTCATATTTAATATGTATGCATAATTTAGAGAAAAATTGATGAAATTATAATTTCAAATCTTTCAAACACAAATGAACTCGACGGAAAGAATGACAAGAAAGGAGATGCACGGTGGAAAGTTAGATTTGATGGAAGATTTTATCTAGGAAAGAGATGGGGGGAAATGTTTTTGTATAAGATAAAAAGAAAAAAAAAATTTAAATTCGATTTCTTTAGTATAGTTTGCAAATTGAGTTTTTGTTTTGGCACATATAACGAACCCCATTAATTTATCCAATCAAACTATTTAAAACTTGAATAAAATGTAATTGATATGTATGTATGTATGTATGTATGTATGTATGTATAGTGTTAGGTTTTGTCATTTAAAACTCCAAAGATAAGGTTTCTTCTCCATTGTGCTACTCACGTTCTTCCCAAACAAAACCGTATCTTGCCCTATAAAACCCTAACGTCAAATCCAAAACCACAAAAAGCAACATCCAAGAGTTTCTAACAGGAGGAATAAATGGCTTCTCTCAATTCATACGCGGCCGCAGCCTTGGCCTTCGTGGCCATTACGCTCTCCTCAGTGGTCACGGCCTCGGCCCGATACTACTGGACAGAGTCCTCCGGTTCACAAACGAGGGGAGCCGCCGCTGCAACGGCCGCATTGTTCACGGGGATGTCGATGATAATGATCATCTCTTCTCTCTTCGTTTCCGGGCTCTCCATCTTCAGGTCGTAGAACCAAAATCCAATCTCAATCTCAGAAGCTTCTCCTCTGTCCACCGTCATCTTGTCCGAATAATGAAAAGACCTGCTCTGTTCCTGTTGTTTTTCCTCCCTAAACTCCCCATGTATATACACACATACACACAATGAAAAACTATATAGCATCTCATATCTCATTGCATTTCACAGGATTGTTTGTACAAGAATCTACATGATGCTACAACACCACACATGATTTGGTTCTTGGTTATTTCAGAACTCAGAAGTATATGGGTGAAAAAAAATAACACCCGTTCAAACAAAAAAAAGAACTACTCCTTCAGAAATCTTTATCACAAGCAATTTCTTGTACTCCCTTATCTCCTTGGTCCTCCTCCGGTTCCTATCGACAAGGCCCTGCACTTCTTCTAGCATCAGAAAAGTAGTTCGAATCAGAAAAAACAGATCATCCACAGAAATTCAAGCAAGAACAGGGAGACAAAAAAGACACCCAGGAGATCTGCTTCACCTCATTACAGGATTCTGTCGAAACCCCGGAAAAATCAAATGAGGATTTGCATATGCAAAACGTCTTCATGCTACAAGCACCTGTGTTCTGCGTTGAAAATTGTCCGTTTGTCGAAAAGATCACGAAGAGAAGGGAATTAGCCGTATCTAACATTTCCATGCAGCATTCATCATCTCAAAGAATTCGAGTACGAACAGGGCGCTGCAAGGTATCATCGAAATTGTGCAGAGAAGTTGAGCACTTACATTGAAATGTCTAAATGGTGCTCAAAATTTAAATACGCAGGTCACCAAGAAAGTCTGATAACCTGAAAATATATTATCACAATCATAACCAACAAAGTTACAAAACTATATAAGTAAGGAATCATGATTGAGGCCATTCATGGGAGAAAACGAAAAGCAGCAACGAGAAAAGGAGACCTTATATTATCTGCTATCACAATCTCTCCGTCTTGAGACCCAAGATGCCGGAGAACAACTTCTTCCAGCCGCCCATCGGGGTACGCATGCTAGTAATGCCCAGATAAAGTTATAGAAATCATCACAAAACCCAAGTGTGATTTGGTAAATGATGAGGAAAAGGAAATTTTCTTACTCATACCTTGTAGAAACAGCTGGTACCAAATGGACAAGTGCCATTTCCAAAGTTAAAATGCTTGCAATCGATTGACCTGCAATATTGGAACATAGAAATGTACAACCCGACCATGTAATCATCAAATTTTCCATTTTTTTCCGATTAGAGCCAAATGGAATATGAAAACAAAGAGATCAAAGCTTCTGGTTGACGAACTCTAAGATCGTGCATAAAGCAAAAATTGCATGATGATTAGTAGTATACCTGAGTTTTGCCTTATAAGTGTTGATTATTTCATTCTTCTCTTCGGGAGTGGAATACCACACCACACTCGGTACAACAAAATATGAACGTTTGCGACATATAGGGCAAGCTCTCAATGTGTTGTTCACGTCCATTCCCGAGACAGGGGCACTACTGCGCCAGTTACGGATGCACTGTATGCAGAATGGATGATCACACTCTGTCAGCAGACCAAATTTCCTTTCGGCTGGAGTTGGCTTCGACAATACACGGTCAAGACACACACTGCACTCGATATCCTGGCTGTGTTTCAAAGCCTCGACATGCTTCTGCTTCTTCTCACATTCTTTCGTATGTTCTTCTCTTTCTTCGGGTCTGAAAGGATGCAAGCAATTCTTTCCACATGTCGGGCAGAGGTCTCCATGAATATGAGGACAGCGGTCTCCTCGCTGGCAGTCACCTGCCGCAGCAAACGAGCAGATGGGTCTGTCTCTTGGTTGGACATCAATCCTGGGGGCCGAAGCATCTTCCTTTTCCCATCCGCAATCAACACCATTTTGCAGATTCCATGCTGGTTCCGTAGGCGTGAAGAGAGAGCTATGCTCCGCTGAAGCAGGACCCAGCTGAGAGGAGCGAGCTACAGGCTCAGAATCTGAGCTGAGAGGCCGCCGCGGAATGTTCCATGCCGATGACGAAGAGGATAGTGACTGAGAAGCGTTGACATGTTCATATCTGCATCTACTTCCATAGGAACAGATCCCTTTCTGATAGAATGAGCAAATCTATAACGGCAAAAAAACCCATCAATCCTTTCATGAACATGTTTCATTCAATCGTACAATAAAATGAAAATTCATGGAAGAAAAAAGGGAAGAAATACAAAAGAGATTACATTACATTTCTCGCCGAACCATTCAAGTCATGGGAATATTCACAGTGTTCCCCTTTCAAGCACGCGCCTTGGATGAAGAACTTGCAGAGAATCCTGAAAAGACAAAAGTAACGATGAAGACCACAAATCAATCAAATCATGCGCTTCTACTCCTCCGTTTTCCCATGTTTCCAGAACAAAATTTTCCTCGATCAGTGAGATTCAAGACTAACAGAAACCGAAGAACAGAATTCACCAACACGCACAAAAAAAAAAAACAAACCCAACATCCAAGGTTCGATCAGAATAGTCAGAAGAAAGCAAAAGGTGACTAAAATCAAAAGGGACCCAAAAAACGGATCGGAATGCGAGAGCAAAAACTATTGTCCGAAAGCAAAACTGAATCGAGAAACAGATTCTGAATCAGAAGAAAAAATAATCTTTGTCGGAGAAGAAATAGGAGGAAATTAGGAAGAAGAGGTCCACTGGATCTTTCTGGGGACGAAAACCAGAGAGAGAGAGAGAGATTTTCTACGGTTTTCAATTTCCGGCGGTCGAGGTTAGATAGAGAAACACCATCTGGTTTTCTCGTCATTCCACATATTTTATCTAAAAATTACTAAACTAACCCTTTTATTAATGGGCCGGCCCAATATAGTTGTCGTTCAGCTGCCCGATTCCAGTTCTTGTGAAGGACCCAGAGTGGATGACGTTTCAATTTTTGTTTAGATTTTTTTTCCCAACCTCTTGTTAAAATTTCATATTTTTTTCATATACTTCGAAAATCTCTTGAAAAATTTCCCAACCTCTTAGCCAAGTCGGTTTAATTATTTTAGAATTCTGGTATCTTCCTAATTATATATACACACAAATTTAATTTTTTTTTCCCGATGTTCTATTAGTCCAAGTATGGCGTAATTCATACATATACACAATCATTCATATGGGTTCACTATATAGCTAAACATGAAAGATAAAATAAATTTTGATGACAATCAACAGGGGATTAGCTCAAATGGTAGAGCGCTCGCTTTGCATGCGAGAGGCACGGGGTTCGATCCCCCGCATCTCCATCTCTTTTAATATTTTCCCTTTTTTTTGGCCATTTTATTTTGGGCCAAGAGATCTTGGAGGAAAGGTCCATACAATATGTGAACGCAGAGGGCCTACTCCTAGCCCACTGAACAAAAAAACTTATCTTCAATATTAAGAATCATTATTGTTTGGGCCTAATACCAATAATTAATATATGGGCCTAAACCCATTATTTATACTCCTCTGCTTTACAGCAACAGCGTGGAAAGAGGCGGAGTAAGAATATTCAAAAGTCAAACTTTGCATCATTGACTCTCTGTGACAACAACCACAACAATAATGAAAAATAGATCACAAACCAAAAGGATTGTTCGTCGGCTACTTATTATTGACCAGTCAAATTGCGATGGGACAACATGTTACATTATATATATTAAGCTAATGGAAGGTGAAAAAGCCACTTCGCGAGGATATTATTCTTCCATTACAACAAAAATAACTTGTTTTTTTAACTCACGCATATATATATTTTAGGAATTATGATTATTCTCTCTTCCAATACTCAATATTATATTTAGTTAATCTAACATTTATTTATCTTTGACATCGATTATTGAAACAAAATTACGAAAACTATACTGTAAATATCAAATTTATATTAATACGTAATTATTGTTTTTTTTTTCTGTTGGGACAGCTAATTATTTGACCTATATAGAGCCATGTATAATTATTTGTCTATTATAAAAATGATAAAAAAAAATTGTATAAAATCCGTTGGACTTGATTAATAAAGAATATCTCTTGAATAATTGCACCAAGTGTTGTGGTGTTGACATTGTACTATTTTTTCCTAAAATTCGAATGTCTTTGTGATGTTTGATTCGTATTATCTTTTATCATTTCTGAATATTTGAAACTTGAATAGCTTTAAATGTTACTATAATAATTGCTTATATATATATATATAACAATGTAAATGATAGCCATATAATACAATATCATAACGTTGATTCCGAAAAGTTGATAGACGATAAAATGAAATACAATACAGCAGCATTTTTCTAACAAGATTGAAATAGGAAATACAATTTCTTTGAGGGAAAATTAATATCGATTTTACCTAAAAGGAAAATAAAAAATAATATCTCGCCTGAAAAAGGGAAAATATAATATACTTACCTCGTCAGGCTTAAAATAAAATATTCCATAAAACTAACAAAACGTCACCGTTTGGACAGTTGCCTCATCATTCCCCAATCGCATTCTCCCAGTTTTTAAGAGCGCGGAGTTGGCAAGATCAACGGTCGGTAGAAGAGTCAAATATTCCAAACCCTAGATTGTTTCCAAAAGTAATTATCATCAACGGCTAGAAACATCAACTTCTCCAGGTTTTAGATCCAACGGCTTTATACTGCAGCACACGGTATACCAACGTAACACAAGATTATTCCCTCAAAAGTTGAGACCCTACTTCAGGAGCCAATAAAAGGCTTAACAATCGTTCTTTCCAACGCTCACCTCTTCACCACAGAAAAATCTCGCTCCAGGAATTGCGCGTACCCATCGATCGCGTCAAAGGTAAGCAACGTTTCTCTCAGATCCTGTGTTTTTTGGTTTAAATTTCCTCGTTGTTCGTCTCTGGTGTTTCCGATATAATATCTGTTGATCTTTTTCCCTTTTCCAGATCTAAAAAGGTGAAATGAGAATGCTTTTGTTTTGGTGTTTTAGATCTGGATTGTTTTTGGTTTGATGAATATGAGTTATTCGTTTTCTTGGACCGGTTTGAATCTAGGTCCTGGTTTGAGTTTGGTTGCGTTTCCTCGGTGTGGTGAACTAGATCTGTGAAATGATTTAGATCTTTTTCACATGTGCGTATCGTTGATTTACTAAGTGATATTGGATCTGTTGTCGTGGATCTCTGTATTGAGAGTTATGTATTCTTTGGAAAGTCGGTGCCGCGGCTTTCTACTGTTCGATTCGTGATCTGTGTTCTCCGACATGTATTGAGTTGTTTTTGATGTTTGATCAACACTCGTGTTGGAAATCTTGATATGATGATGTTTGTTTGGTTTTATCCAGATCTCACGATTTACTGCGACGTTTCTCCCATATTAGTTTTTTATTAGCCTCTCACGCGATGTGCGAACTGTCAAATGTGCAGTGTCAACTTTAAGTGATGAATTGGAATTGGTTCATGAGATTTGGAATTGTTAATTGGATGAGGCTGATAAAAGAACGCATGGCAGATATGACTTTGGCTAGATATTCTTATTTGTTATTTTCTTGTCCGCGTTGATGTTTTTTGTCTGGGAGAATTCTATTGAACATTTCCTGCATATAGGTTCAATCTATCGCATGCCAATGCCTTCTTCGTGGTTTGGCATATGCCTGATTTTTCACTAATGCCCGTTTATTCTTGCAGAGGTCAAAATGGTTGATCAGGTTCAGCACCCTACTGTCATGCAGAAGGCTGCCTGCCAGTTCCTGAGGTCCAGCGTTTCTCAGGACATTAATGCTTATGATGGGGCTTTCCAGAGGCCTTCTATGCACCAAAGGCGTGCTGCATATGGAAACTACTCCAATGCCGCATTCCAATACCCTCTTGTCCCCACAAGCCGGGTCGCATCAACTGCTTCCCCGGTGTTTGTCGCAGCTCCATCAGAAAAAGGGCTGTAAGAGAATGTTGACATTATGTTGCCACCAAAAGTATCTTTGCTATTGATTTCCTGATGGGTGGTGTTTCTGCTGCTGTGTCGAAGCCCGCTGCCGCTCCCATCGAGCGTGTCAAGCTTTTGATCCAGAACCAGGATGAGATGATCAAGGCCGGCAGGCTTTCTGAACCCTACAAGGGTATTGGTGACTGTTTCAAGAGGACAACGCAGGAAGAGGGAATTGTTTCATTGTGGAGAGGAAACACTGCCAATGTCATCCGTTACTTCCCCACTCAGGTTGGTGAATTATGCCATCTGTTTGTCACATTTGAGATCACCAAGGACTGTATCTCACTAATCCCTCTCTCTCTCTTTATCTCACTCCTCAGGCCTTGAACTTTGCGTTCAAAGATTACTTCAAGAGGCTCTTCAACTTCAAGAAAGACAGGGATGGCTACTGGAAGTGGTTCGCCGGCAACTTGGCCTCTGGAGGTGCAGCTGGTGCGTCATCCCTTCTCTTCGTGTACTCCCTTGACTATGCCCGTACCCGTCTGGCCAACGATTCCAAGGCTGCCAAGAAGGGAGGTGAGAGGCAGTTCAACGGTCTTGTCGATGTATACAAGAAGACCCTCAAATCCGACGGTATTGCTGGACTCTACCGTGGGTTCAACATCTCCTGTGTCGGTATCATCGTCTACCGAGGTCTCTACTTTGGTCTGTACGACTCTATGAAGCCCGTCCTCCTCACTGGAGACCTCCAGGTTTGTTTGTTTTTAAACACATTACTCCGATTTACCCCTCATCTAGGGGGGTGTCCATCATAGGGTTTCTGTTTGGGTTCCTGTTTGGTTATTTCAGTTTTAGATAAACTAGAACAATTTGGTTTGGTTTTGGATTACAGGATAGTTTCTTCGCCAGCTTTGCCCTCGGGTGGCTCATAACCAACGGAGCGGGACTGGCATCATACCCAATTGATACGGTCAGAAGAAGAATGATGATGACATCGGGTGAAGCTGTGAAGTACAAGAGCTCACTCGACGCCTTTGGGCAGATACTGAAGAACGAGGGAGCGAAATCGCTCTTCAAGGGAGCAGGTGCCAACATCCTCCGTGCCATTGCAGGTGCCGGAGTTCTCGCCGGTTACGACAAGTTGCAGCTCATTGTCTTCGGCAAGAAGTACGGTTCTGGTGGTGCCTAAGTTTGCACAAAGCACCCAAGCCATTTTGAAGATGTTGATGAAATCTTGTCTTTTTTTGTTCTCTCTAGATTTATGGGTTTTTATCAGAAATAATTAATAATTCATGTTTAGGAGGAGGTTATGCCACACTTTCCTTCGAACCTTATTATATTTAAAAAAAACGATTTTGGGATTAGGAGCTGTTTTTGTTTGACGATGAGGAAATTGTTATTTGTTCTCGAGATCTACACCTCTTTTGGTGCGTTCTTGTTCGTTTCTTGAAATCATTTGGATGCAGTTGAGCTATCTTCATGGGAAGAAATTTCGAATTCTCGGATTCCAACATTTTTGTTGGTGACGCGAGGGATGGAGCACTTGTGTGCATGAAGGGAAGGGTACGCCACTGAAAGATAGGATTGACGACGCACCAAGACAGCGATAGCTCCAATTCTTCATCTCGAGCCTCTTTGTTACTTCTCAAACCCTCAAAACCCGTCATGTCCAAATCAATATATCTCCTCCTGGATCCGAATCCACCCCTTTCAACAATCTCGATTTACAAATCTAAATTCGGATCGCAACTGTTCGAATACCAAATGCGTAAATCGGATCAGACACTCAAAAATTGGACAATGTTTTCCACCCTAACATCAGGCCGTCTATTGATCAAAGCGTGGGATTTCAATCGAGTATAATATGCCAATAGTTTTATATTTATTTATATAAAAAAAACAAATTATATTTAATTTATATGCAATAGCTTTCTAAAACTCTGAAATCAGATGCTTGTTAATTTAGTTGGGGTTGCTTGGGAATCAGCTATATGATACTTTCGAATAAGAAAAATTCGGTTATAGTTGTCGTGTAGCAGTAAGGCCAAAAAATAAATAATAAAAAGGGCTAAAAAGAAACGTGAGAGAGATTCGTAATTAGCAGTGAACAAGTTTCGACATTCGGATCAAAAGCTCAACACATCTTTGCCATTAGCAATGTGTACTTGCAAACATCATCTCTACGAGGTCCAGATTGCTAATTCATTCTTCAGACACACGTGTGTCCAGAGAGAGAGATGTGTCTTCTTGTCTTTGACTCTAAACCAGTCTTTTTCGATGCATTTTTCTTCACTCACAAGTCTATCATCATGTTCTTTACGAACATTTTATAAACAAAAAAATAACTCCAAAGTCTTGCTTCTTCTTCACATCATCTCTCCCTCTCTCTCTCTCTCTCTCTCTCTCTCTCTCTCTCTCTCTCTCTCTCTCTCTTCATGTCCAAGTACTCATATTCATATCATTCCAAAGCAATCCTCACAAAGGCATCATCACATTTCCCCACCCTCATCAAACACTTCCTTCTCACAATCTCTTTCGATATCGAATTATCTTCCAAACATTGTTGTTTTCCCTCTGTATCTCTCTTCTTAAACTCCAAAAGGGTTTTAATAAAAAGTGGCGTTTTTGTAATTAGGCCCCCTCTTCTATAACTTCGATGATGATGAGGAAACCAGATATGATCATCAAAGACATCAACAGCAACAACAAACCGGCCAACATCCATGGCGGTAATGGTGGTAACAATAACAACAACAACAAGGCCAAGCTTAGGAAGGGGCTATGGTCCCCCGATGAAGACGAGAAGCTAATAAGGTACATGTTGACCAATGGACAAGGTTGCTGGAGTGACATTGCCAGGAATGTAAGAGTTGTCGCCTTCGTTGGATCAATTACTTGAGGCCTGACCTTAAACGCGGCGCCTTCTCTCCCCATGAAGAGGATCTCATCCTCCATTTTCATTCCATTCTTGGAAATAGGTATAATCGCAATTTCATCATTTTGACTATGTATATGAATTAGTGTTGCTTATACTAATAATTCTGTTCCGAAACATTCTCAGGTGGTCTCAGATAGCTGCTCGGCTTCCGGGTCGGACTGACAATGAGATCAAGAACTTTTGGAATTCGACATTGAAGAAGAGACTCAAGAATAATAACAACACTTCTTCCAATATATCATCGTCATCATCGCCTAACAACAGCAATAGTAATTCCATGGAGCCAAGAGATCAGCAGCAGTTCGACATGGGGTCGGGGTTAACACAAATGAATGGTCATCTTGATGATATAATGGCGGGCATGCCACCCATGTGCATGGAATCCTCTTCTTCGCCACTCTCTTGCAACTTCCAACCCATGATTAACACCGGTTTGAACCAGTTCGATCCATTGATGATCACCATGATGGATAACCGGTGTCACCAAATGGGAAGTACAGGAGGAGGCTTATTCAACGTTAATGGCTTAGGAGATTGCCTTCAAGGTTCATCAGGTGATTATAGTAATGTGATTCTTGAACCGATCGGTAAGAACAGATCAGTAGGAGGCGAATTCTCTCTTCCTCCTTCGGAGAATAGAAGTAGCATCGACAACAGTATTGTTGCTTGTACTGCAAGCAACAATGGGTTCATCGACATAGATCCTTGCTTTAGTAATAAACACGTGGGCCATTCAGACAGCTTCAAGGTGGGTAACATGTTTGGGATGGAGAACAACCCTTGGCAAGTAGAAAACCCTAAAATTGGAGATTGGGATTTGGATGGTCTCATGGAAAACATCTCTTCTTTCCCTTTCCTTGATTATCAAGTTGAATAACAAGTACCCCCAAATCTCTCTCTCTCCCTCTCTCTCTCTCTGCTTCAAGTGTTGATTTCTCTCCTCTCTTTCATTGGATCTTTCCTCTTTACATCGGATATCCCCTTTTCGTCATTCACTCTTTTCTTCTTATTTTTCCATTCATTGCTATAATTTCTCTTGATTTTTGTCTATTTCATACACATATATTAGCTACATCCATACAATAATATACATATATAGGTGGTTGGGGGGATTTCATTCGAGGGACTTAACCATGCACCACTGCATGGTTCTTTTATAATTAGCGAATGCAATGTGAATAGGAAGTTACGTAGAGATGTTGTTTGCCATATGAAAGGAGAAAATAATGGCCCACATACATATTGACGCGAGATTAGTTGGTGAATTTGTATAGTCTCTTTTTTTTTTCATTTTTTTCTTAATGTATAAAAACTGAAAATAATGTGTACAAGGTCGTTTCGTAATAAGAAAGTAAGTTCATGCCTCCCTTTACCTCCAAATTTCAATTAAATATTGATGATTTGTTGATTTTTCACGATATTTTTCCACTTTAATTTCTTTCTTGACAAATTGTGAACGATGCATATGATTTTTAAAAATTATATAAAAACAATTTTAAATAAAAATTAATTTATATTTATTATTTCATTTATATTGTCCATACCAACCGAAACGTGCGCCCTATTAAAAAGGATGTAGAAGTTGAAAAAATAAATGTAGTTGAAAAACCGCATAGCATCGCTGCTATGACACTAGTCACGATTTCATTAGTGGTACTAAAGAGGGATTTATAAGTGGGACCAACATGTATCTTGGGATGTAAGCAAAAAAAAAAAAAAAAAAAACTGAAATGCCATAATTCCACGTTATAATTTTACGTAGATATACAATATATAATACAAGATATTGCATGCATCTACCATATATTTATATAGCAAACATATAATATCTCCACAATTGTTATGTCTAATCATTAACTCATATGGTCTAACCTTGTGTATTAATATATCCTCTCTTAAAGTTCACGTTAACGTTAATACTCCATTAAATACACGTACCGCTCTCACACCCACTCACAAATTAATTTTCACGTCACCAATTTTTTTTTAAATATTTTTATATATAGAAATATATCACTTTTTCTGTAGCATGAAAACAAATTTAAAGTGACCAAATATTTCCAATGTATCCGAAAATATATTTTAAAACATTTACAAAGACCTAAATTCTATCTAAAATCTTGAAGATACATTATTTATGGACAAGCAATTTATCGATTGGTTCACAAAAATGCTTTCGTTACATGGATTTGAAAAAAAAAAGATGGATCTTAAGACCGCAATTCGCCCTTATAAGATGAACTAATTAAGGCCATTTGTCCCATTAAAGCCCAACCAGCCTAAAATACATGTCAATTTCAACAGCCCATTTCGGTATAAATACAAACCGAAGCCGATTCATATCGTTTTTGATATAAACGTAAATTGGATATTAATTTTTTAAAAACTAAATTAAACCGATTTCAAATTGATCCTAATCGAATTTGCATCATTGTCGTAATGTGTTTAAGAACATTACTTACCATAAACCATAAAATCGAACCGGGGACTTGCTCTAACTCTACGGATGAATTTGGTCGGTTTTTTTTTTATTCTTGTTGCCTGGCTGGCATATTACAAAATTTATTTTGTTTGCGGCCGTTTTTTTTCCTTCTGATTTTTAAATATCGCATGTATTATAAATATATTTTGGCACATACATACATTGTATTTATAAAAGTTAAACAAATATGACGATTTCCTAACTTTGAAACATGATTTAAACCAAAATGACATTAGGTTTATGTCTTAAAAAGGTGATTTTATTAAGCTTTAGTTTTTTTTTTGGTTATTCACATGGAAGATTTTGAATACTAAAGTTTTCAAGGTAATTATTACTCCATATGGTTTTAAAAGACAGCTATATCCATATTAGTAGGTACATATATATAATTTATATTTCATTCCCATTTGTGACATTTATTAGTCACATCGATGATCATATAACATTATCACAACCGTGCATTATCTTAATCTCCCATCTGATTGGTCAAATTAAAGCTAAATTTTTTTTTTTGGAATAATTGAAAAACAATTATACTACCCACTATCTCGTAGTTATGGTGCAAAGTGGAATCTGAAGATTGTGAATCTTGCAAGACATGCGCTTATCCTCGTGCCACTATATGCTTGAGGCAAAATCTTATGAATTTTATGTTAATATTGTAATGAATAAATATGAAAAATATTTACGGAAAATAGAAGTATTTTCGTAATAAAAGTTTAAAATATAATTATTATTTTGTTACTAATAGCAATATTTACGGAAAATATAGAAGTAGTTACGATATAGTAATGCTGATAGGGAATTTGTTTCTGCCACTTTCTCGTTATTAGACGACATAAACCACTTTGATGCATTTTAATTGAATATATATATATATATATTCACATATTTCATGGTAAAGGAGATTGATTATATGAATAGACCAGCCTTAAATATTTCATCAAGTATTCTATTTCAGACTAACTATCATTTATTTCATAAATTGTTTAAAATAAATATTATATAGTTTTTTAAACAATACATTATTATATTTTCGATGAATTTAAAATACTTTTATGTAAGTATAATAGGTTATCAATTCCTATTTCGTAAATTATATATTTAGAAATTTTTATGATGAGTCTATAGAGAATTTTTTGTGTAAATTTTTTAGATAAAATATTTTTCTATTTATAAATTGTAGATTAAAATATGGTTTGTTAGTTCATAATCATTTAATATTCTAGTAACCGGTTCTCCTATATTTTTAGTTGTGTATATACATATCATGATATGTATTTAATTTAGCTATCGACATTCTTGTGTCATGATGTTTAGGAATCCAATCAACAAGTTGAAAGGAGCCACACCCACTACACACATATATATTTTTTGAAACTAAAATGTTGATGCGCATCCCTAGCATCTTAACTATTAATTATATTATTCGGAAAGGGAAGAAAAAAAGAAAACGAATAGTTTTCACTTTACATGCACTACAATTATAACATAAAAGAATTATTATTAGATTTGTAAGTTGTTGCTCTTGAAAGTGTAAGAGAACCCACCATCAAATTCTGGTTTTACGAAGCACCCAAATGGAATAGCAACTATATTTTGGAAATTAATTTACATAATATTAAAATTTATGTATTAGTGCGATCACAATAATTCTTCATATACGTATATATTTAAAAAAAGGTTGAGTTTTCTGTATTTTTTATTCAAGGATATAAGGCCACAGAAGGAAAGGTGAAAATATATGATGTTATTTAAATTTATCTTACGATTAAGGAAAAGTGGCGATAAATAAAATAAGGGTTTACCCAACAGATCGTGGACGAGTGGTCAAGTTTGGGTACGAGGTAACTTTACTTTGAGTGTTCAATTCCTAACTGGTGGGGAAGGAGGTAATTTCTGGGTTTATATGATCCATATATAAAAGCTGCTCCGGATCGGAGATTTATTTAGTCAGCACGTCCGAAGAGTAGCAGGTATGGGTCCTCTATTATAAAAAAAAAAAAGGTTTTTGGAGAAGGGCGTGGATGGGATGTGTGGTTTCCACGCGAAAGTGGTTCCTCACTTACTTGTTTAGTCATATTTGATGAGTGTGGCTCCGTGGCTTCCACACGAAAGCGGTTTTTTCTATCTTAATGTATTCCTTTAATTTATTTATTACCCTTGTTAGTATTTTTTTTAATTAAATAAATTATACCTAATTGATATACACCTGGCTTTCGGCGAGGAAAATACTCATATTGATAATAAAAAAAATGTTTAATATATATCCTATTGTCATCTCTGTATACCATTATGATTTTTGTAGATATTAATGTAATTCAATCAATATAAAAATTAAATCTTTTTCTAAAGAAACAAAAGTAAAACCAGAAATTAATGTTAAATAGTTCTTAGGTGAAAATTGGAGGCAATTATGGTTTATTTGATCCCATACGACAAAAATGAACGAACTAATTTATTTAAAAGAGGATATAGTATTCATGACATCCGTACGTATTCATTACTAACATTTCTGTAAAAATTAGGTTAAAAGATAAATATTTCGAAATTGTGAAAAGATAAAATAAAAAAGAGACAACAAAAAGAATAAGCACTAATAAAAGTAAAATAATTGATAAATCAAATTATCAAGATCCACCGTCGGGACCGGTCTGTGTTTGTCTTGTTGCGACCCATAGTATAGGGATAAATAACATTTCCACTACCAAAATAAAAACCATAGAATGTTTTTTAAAACCGATAACACAAGAAAATTGTTGCTCGTGCCATTAGCATCAATGGTGTCATCTCGATTATTATGGAGTGTGTGTGTATATATATATATATGTATGGGAGACATAAATATGTTATGTAAAAAAATAAATTATAAAATATTCTTTGAAGGTACCGGTGTACTTGTGTGTACTAGGCAGAAAGTATGACTTTTTGAAATTAAAATGCGCAATAAACATATGATTAAAAAGTTATCAAAGAAGACAATCATAATTTACGTACTATTTCATCCACTGATTTTCTCCGCGTTTTCTAAACAAACGTTTTGATATATTTTCTGAAAAATTTTCAATCGAATAATACGAAAATATCAATGTATCCACTAAAAAATTTAAAAATGAATAATGAACTAGCATATTTTTAAAGAATAAGATTCGTTCTAATAACTCCTATTATATTCGGTTACCATAAGCCATGAGTTCAAAATATAGACTTGGGAATATGTACGTATGGATGTAAAAAAATAATTTATAAAATAGCAAGATTTTATAGAATATATTTTAATTTGTTCATGAAATACAGTTCATTGTTTAGTAAATGGTGAAACCATTAAAATAAATTATAAATTATTTAGATATCCCTACCCCTTTCGTGAAAAATCAATTTACCATGAACGACTTCCTTATTAATTTTCGGCTCTAATGATCATTTTCTTAAAATCATAAATTATAGTTTCAAATATCGAATCATTACACCATTAATTCAATTAGTTTACTTTGATTTTTTTTCGAAACAGCTTCTCTCCGACGCCATTGATTAAGAATTATTTATGGAGATTTTTGCACGATTAGTCAAATTTTACAGGATTAATCAGACCACAATTTGTAGGATATATATTTTTGGTTATAACAAAAATACTTAAACTGATTTACAAGGTGTGAAATATGAGGAAACATATCATATGACACCAAATATACGACATTTGTTTGTCATTAGATATTAAAGTGACAAGGGGTAATTAACATAACATATCCTGTGAAGGGAAATGATATGAAGTGCAAGGTATCAAATGGGTTTGTCGACGATGGAGCACACGGAGAATTAGGTCAGCACAATAAATAAATAAATAAATAAATAAATAAATAAATAAATAAAATGAGTGAAGTTGATGAATTTCATGCTCATTGGAAATCCAACGTAGACCACTTTACCTCCGCAACCAACTGCGTCGCTTCTATCAACACAATGATATCTGTTTTGATGTTGCTCCATCTTCAAATTTATAAGGCACCAAATTCCAACTATCTAAGCAATTTTACATCAGAGTTTGTAATAATATTTAAAATATACATGCATATATATGTGAACGAAAATAGGTACGCCTAAAATTTACTATTTTTTTTTTTAAAAAAAAGATAAACAGAAAAATGGTGTAGATTCATTATCATATACTAATCTTCTTTTAATAACTCTAACGTAAAAAATAATTCCGATTTTTTTTTTATTAATGGACACAACAAATGTAGTCGGACAATTTTTTAGCTATTTTAGTGCTAATTGGAATGTACCGGTAGTGTCGTGTCAAATAACAGACCTAAATATCATATATATATATATATATTTATAAATTAAGAAATGAAATAATAAAAGAAACATACAATTTACATAAAATTCATTTTTTTTTCTCCACCAAACCTTTATATTTCAATCTGTGACCTCGTCTCCATTTAGTATTCATCAATTTCTGAACCAAAGTATTTGCAATAATTTTGTTTTGCATTTTTAAAACAAAAATTAAAACGATGCCATTTTATATATTTAGCGGAATTTTAAATGCTATTATTTTATAGTAAAACGTTAATGTTTATATTTTAAAATAAAATTGTCGTTAGGTGTCAATACCAACTCTTTTGTTAGAAAATTTGCTCAGATGAATCTAAAAATGTTGGATTTAGAAAGAAGAAGAAGAAGAAGAAAATATTTTCCACCATTAATCATAAATACCCAAATATATTATATATGATCCTATTTTTCTAAAGGTATTTTTGCGCATTATTTGAAATTATTATACTATAGTTTTTTCTTATGGAGATTTGAATATGCGGATCTGGTTTGGTACGTTGGACCAAGGCATCTCTCATATTTCTTCACACGGATTTTGATGAGATTTAACATAAGTACATGACTGAAAACACATTTTGGCGACTGTTCATTGCACTACACGTAATTCAACCCAGTATTCACGCCGCGCCAAATGATCCAATATAATACAAACTATCAAAATATAAACAATAAATTATTATTATTTTTTTTTTTTTTATCAAAACTGTACAAACTAGTCCTCGGAAATAGAAATAGGTGGGAGCCATATTTAGTTGATTACATCATGTAACTTAATTTTACATAATTGTATTGAGTCTAACGTAATATACATTTTTTATATGAATTTTAACGCATTATACGGTGGTAAATACATTGATCTATGGTGTATATATTGAATGTTAATGATCCAACAACATATGAAAAGTTTGTGAAGAAAAAAAAAACATAGGACAAGTTCATCACGGAACCGCAAAGTCGAGCTCCATTGAAATATAATCATAGACTACTCCTAAAGGTAGTGATTATGCATCTTTTTTTAATCTTTTAAAAAAGAACCCAACGAAAAACAGTTCTTCTTTCCTTTACCAAAAAAATGAAAAATAGAATCTGCAATATAAATTATATATATATATGTATATATAATGAGTAAAGTTGTAGAGATCACACAGAAACTGACTTCTATATAAAGGGATCCATGCATTTGCTCACACATGTAAACCTCCTCAGATCTCTCTCTCTCTCTCTCTCTCTCTCTCTCTCTCTCTCTCTCACTCAAGCAACAGAGACTTTAATATAAGGTAAATATTATTTGTTTGTCCGATGAGTTCGGAACCCTAAGTTCTCAGTATCCTAATAACTTCTTTTTAGCGCATAGATCTCCAAGTTCTATTATCTAACTATTCATGTTAACTCTTCTTTTTCTCCAATGCCAATTCATATTTTATAATATATACACAAACACACACACACACACACATAGATGTATAATATATAGTGATTGTTAATATGATATATGCAAACAGCGTTTCTTTATGTGATATATACGATATATGATTTCGTGTATATATAATACACATAAAAAGATGTAAATCTTATGATGTGCGAGTGTCGTAACGTATTGATAATGATATATACAATATACACACACTAATTATATATATATACACTATTAGATGGTCTGTTACCAATATCGCTGTGGAAGAAAATAAAAAAGCCGGCAAGTTGTGTGAAAGACGAGGCGCCTTTTTCGAAAGGCTTGCATTGACGCACTCTCAAACAACACTTGTCGGTGTCCATTTTCCTTTTTATTTTTTACTTTCTTTATATATATATATATATATATATTCGAAACAAAAATTATATTTAAACTAGAGTAAAAAATTTAAAATCCACATACTTTGCTGACCTTCAGTATTGGTCTATCGGAACCAGGAAAATAGAAGTAACATTAATTTTTTTTAAATTCCGAATAAAACATATAAAACGCTGATAGATTGTTTTCGATAAAATAATGTGAAATTTATTTTCCAATAAATTGCCGAAGAACGTAAACCGTTGGAATTTTCATCGAGTCATCGACCATTATGCTCTCACGCATTAATTTAGGCCGTTAAATGCACTTCCACGTAGTTTCAAAGGAGAGAAATATAAGTCGTCGTCGTCGCGTAATGACGTACCATGTATATCGTTATCGTTATCAACGAACACGTCTCTTTGATTATTTTCTACTATATTATATATAATTTCATACATCTAACTATATAACCAATGTACGATCTGTTAAATTTTTAAAAAAAATTAATATTACACGGGCTATATGTTATTTTCTCTCTTTTGTGCTAATTATTTACAGTATTAATTAAAAAAAATAGATTTGGTAATTTGGCTGTACGAACCTAAAATAGTAAATATCACACCGCGGTTTTGTGTTGTCTTATCTCTTTTTTGATCATATAATGTTATACCTCTCATTTTCCACTTTTATAATGCATTGCTTTGTATGTCGTGTCCACATATATATACACACACCATTCGTTTACTTACGACATATACAAACATACATACACACGCGCGTGCACGTGCATGCACACACGCACACGCGCGCGCGCGCGGGAGCGCGTACGGCATACACGCTTATATTTATTATATTTTTATCAATGGATGGTTCATAAGTGAATTTCCTGGTCGAGGGTTTAATTGGGGGAATAGACAAGCTGGGGAAAATAAGCACATGCATGATCATTACGCATGTCTATATCTATATCTATATATATCTCTATCTATATTGTCTATATATACACTCATAAACACGTGCATACACCACTTGTATTCACTCAAGAACTGTGCCTTCTGATCAGTTAAAACCAAGGAAGTCGAAATGTCGAATATTGCTGATGCTGTGACTATGACGACCACGAGCTACAAGGGTACGATGCCGTTTCTTGTTTTCTTCAGAGACTCGAGGTGCGTATATATATATAAAAATACACACACATGTATGTGCGTATATACGCACGTACGTATTCGAGCGTATTTACAGAAAATGGGATGTGATGTTTATGCAGAAATATATTCAAGACGGATTCGCTTGGGCGGGAGATTCTTGGCATTGCGTTGCCTGCGGCGTTGGCTTTAGCCGCAGATCCTATCGCTTCTCTCATTGACACTGCTTTCATCGGTCGCTTAGGTACGTTGCCTGCGGCGTGGCCTTTAGCCGCTGATCCCATCGCCATCGAATTCGAACGTTTAATCCCGTGACGCTAACTCAGCGAGTTTCTCGCCAAATATGTATAACAGGGCCCGTAGAGCTTGCTGCTGTGGGGGTGTCCATTGCGATATTCAACCAAGCTTCAAGAATTACGATATTTCCTCTGGTGAGCATCACGACGTCCTTCGTGGCGGAGGAGGACACAATGGATAAGATGAACGACGAAGTTGTCCCTGACTCGGACAAGGGGTTAAATTCGATTCTCGTCGTCCCCGGGAGAAATGCTGAAGAACCTGAGCAATCCGCCCCCGAGGATTCCATGGAAAAGGGCATAGCTTCTTCGGCCGCAGCTAAAGTCCCTTCTCTGCCCTCGGAAAACGGTACTTTTTTATCATTTAGCGTTTGTGTTTCTACTCATTGCACTAGAGTAAATGACATAGACTCCTGAATTCTCGATTAGGTTCTGATACAAAGACTGGTAATCCGATGCCCAAATCGAGTAAGGCGGAGAAGGGCAAGAGCGGAAAACGGCATATCCGTTCTGCATCGACCGCACTGATTCTCGGATTGATTCTTGGCCTCTTGCAAGCTATTATCTTGGTTTTCAGTTCAAAGGTTCTTCTAAGTGTCATGGGGGTGAAGCATGTAAGTCCTACCAAAAAAAATAAAATCAGACACGTTCTTACATGTGAAAGCATATGATTCTGAAGAACAAAATATATAACTTGAATTACACGATTTGATCGAGACAGAATTCGCCTATGCTACGGCCGGCACATAAGTACTTGATCCTCCGATCTGTGGGTGCTCCTGCTGTTCTTCTTTCGCTTGCGATGCAAGGCATCTTCCGTGGGTTTAAAGACACCAGAACTCCCCTCTATGCCATTGGTAACACTTCACTTCACTTAATGTATACGTTTTATATCTCTTTCTTGTTCAAAAAGTGATCATAACTGTCAGTTCGTGTAAACAGTTGCTGGAGATGCAATGAACATCGTACTCGATCCAATCTTCATCTTCGTCCTTCGTCTTGGAGTCAGTGGTGCCGCCATAGCTCACGTTCTTTCTCAGTAAGCTTTTCTACAGTTTTTTTTTTAACCAGAGAAAGATATATATATATCAGATTACTTGAAATGAAAGCAAAACTAATGCTTCATGTATCGGGCCATGTCTTTTGGACAGGTACTTGATATGTCTGATTCTGTTCATCCGTTTGGCCAAGAAAGTCAATCTGATGCCACCGAGCCTCGGGGATTTGCAGTTCAGCCGCTTCCTCAAGAACGGTCAGCGACATATATCATCCCTAACATAAATTGAAAGAATTTTTCAAATATGTTTGATCCGAATCTGACATATATGTATAATACGTTGAAAACAGGGGTGCTGCTTCTGGCCAGAGTTGTGGCTGTGACATTCTGTGTGACTTTAGCAGCATCAATGGCCGCTCGTCTCGGTTCCACTCCGATGGCCGCTTTCCAGATCTGTTTACAGGTCTGGTTAACGTCTTCCCTTCTCGCCGATGGCCTTGCTGTTGCTGGTCAGGTATATATACATATACACACACGTACATCACTGTATATATGTACGTATATGACATGATTCATCGTATGAAAATGGATCATGTTCAGGCTATTCTGGCGTGTGCATTTGCTGAGAAGGACTACAACAAGGTGACTGCAGCCGCGTCCCGTGTTCTACAGGTATATATACATGTGATGATTATATATATATACAATAGCATCCTCAATTATAATTAGATTATAATTATAAATTAAAGCACAATAATTGTGAGTTTGGTTAATTATTTTTGTCGCAGATGGGTTTCGTATTGGGACTGGGACTGGCTCTTTGTACAGGATTGGGACTCTACTTCGGCTCAGGAATCTTCTCCAAGGACCCTAACGTTATTCACCTCATAGTCGTTGGCATACCGGTAAATTTAATTATCATAATATTTTTCAAAAATTATTAACAATCATAATAATAAATAATATAGTTTGCATGGGGTTACAACAGTTCGTTGCAGCGACGCAGCCCATCAATTCATTGGCCTTTGTGTTTGACGGGGTCAACTTTGGAGCGTCCGATTTCGCTTACACTGCATACTCCATGGTACTAAAACATTATTATATGCACATACTTTTGATTTTAAATGCTCATATTATAGATATATATATATAATTCTTTTTTAGAATATGTTTTGTTAATTTAAATTAATGGGTTGATTAGGTTGCAGTTGCGGCAGTAAGTGTTGCGGCGGGGGG